GGAAGTTATAGCGCCAGTTTTACTTTATAACTAGATTTGCCTGTGAAAATATGTATTTTAAATAAGAATATCATTTTACTGAGGTAAACGTATCTTTTGTTTATATTGACGAGTTTGTACCTTTAGGTCCATCGGACATCTCTTCAAATCTCCCTACCGTACGTAGATCTGTCGAACGTTCTACACATCTGAGACAACACATTACATTTAGCAATGTTCGTTAGTTAGTAAATTAACTCTTATTTTCACAAGTTCCGTGTATTTAAATGCTCAACCTTTTAAACCCATCACAAGTTACATATAAACACAATTTTCCTTTATTTCCATATTGCACATCTTTAGCACAGTTACATATACACACGCAGACATCTTTCTCTTTGCAATAAAGTCATTCTTCAATTTCTTTGTAACTAAAATAAAATATAGATACAACCTTATTATCTCGCTATAAATGTCACACGACGACCGGGGAGGTCCGAAATAAATAAAATGGCCGACTTACGCTATAATTAACAACTTTAAACGCATTACAAATTAAATAATTTGTATCGAAGCATCGTGTTTGTATTTAAAAAAACAAATGTATAAACGTAAATTGTATTAAATCGTAAATCCCCTTAATAAGTAAGATGAGGTCGTAGCATGCCGGTCTCATGTCGGATTTGGTTACGCACATTAATATAATATTAATTACAAACATGATTTTCCATTTGACAAAAATGAACGACGAATTCTATTCAGTAACGATAAAGTTCAAAATTGGTTGATGTTTTCGTTTATTGAGTGTAAATATAAGTTGTCAGTGCAGTATTTAACTTTAGTTTGACATGTTTATTATTAGACGGAAGAGGCCTATTAAATTGTTTGTAGTAATCCTGCGCTGTAGGTCCGGGTATTTTGGTCGGACTGTCACGCGGTAGTGTCAGAACGCTTGTTGCTTTAGTTATTGGCCAGTTACAAATCAGGGCTTAATGCATGTTTAAGTGTCAGTGAGGAAATTATAATAATACTCTAGAAGATCAAAATGGTGGCATGCTTCAGATCCTTTAAGTAGCTCATTATAGATGTTAGATAGTCTTGAGATTAGGTATGTACGAAACAAGCTTGTAACTACTTAGTTTAATGCAGAATGAAATAGTATGCATTGTTTTTCTTTTATAACATTAATTATGTGATTGGTACATTTTAATCGTATGTTATTGTTGAAAAAATGTTTTCATTTTATAGAAGACGTGTGTAATTTTATATTTGTATCACGTAGTGGTTTAAGCGGTCACCTCGTCACTTTCTACTGCGCTGAGTGTTGTGGACGATCCTCACATGGGATATCACGTGATTCACATATTGTTGTTCTGAGTCTGGGTGTTCTTTATGTCGGTTTCATATATGTTTGTAAAGTCCCACGCGAGGCAGGATATATTCCTAATGCGGGAGTGTTTAATTTTATTTTTAATGAAAACTACATATAGATGTTCCCATCTATGAATTTGATCATAAGCTGTAAGTGCGGCACATTTCGTAACTACATGTTGTTTCTGTAAATTTCCTAAAGAAAAATACTTAACCTCACCAGGCCACATTACAATCGTGTGATACGTGTTCGATAGTTTCATTTTTCATATTGTTCCTTCGCGAACCAATCACGGCAAAAGAACAATTTATTGAAGTGAAGAGAAACGATAAAATGTAAGCCTTTAAGTCCCTCTTCAGAAGAGATACCTTTTGCTATACGAAATTATTATCTATTTGAAATATGTAGGTATGTCTAATTTCATTGCCTATTCTTTTATTAATACGAGCTCAATTCTCGCCTGTACTATGCAGCATTCCGCTCAAAAAAGGCAAGGCTCTATTCAAAACTTGCATTGATTTTTAATAACCCAACATGTGTTCAATAAAACAAGCCGCTTACATTTTAATTACAAAATGTTACAGAAATGCCCTTCATAAAAACCATTGGATACAATAACCTCGCCATATAAGTCTCAGTTCATAGCACATAAATGGGGTGTGATCACAAAACGATCTGCCGATGCAATGTAATACAATATTTTATAGGCATGTAGTGGTATGAAGTGACCACACACATGGGTGATTATGAAACCACGCCTCCCCACCCGGTGCTTAATATTGAAGGAATAAATTGTAACATTCACGCCTTTAAATAGTAATTTGGGCACTCTAGTTGAATTTTAAAATACTTCATTGAGTGACAGGTTTCTTGGACACCCTGGTTAAATTTATAATGGTTTGCATCTGAGACGTTGTCGTAAACACGCGAACAGATTTCTGTCGGTTTTTTTTTAAATTAAATAAAAACATGATTTTGTAAAAAAAATCATTTTATACCTACTTTACGAACAATTTTAATAAAATGTTGACCAATGAACGTCATGGCAAAAATAAAAATAAAAATTCTGGAATTATTAAATTTTCCGGTTACTACTCTCGATTTTTGAATTTATGTATTTTTGTTACATTTAATGTAGGTTTATCTCTTATTTAGCAAACTATAAACTATGAGAAAGATAAAGAATGTGTGAATATTAGAAGAAAGATACTTTATCTTTGCACCTACTGCATCATATTTCTACGTCACCAAATAAATTAAGTCGACGTAAAAAGGTCGATTGGGAGAGAATGCCTTATGGCATTAAGTCCGCCTTTGTACAACATGTGCATTATGTTTAAATAAAAATTCTTACTAATAAAAGCGTGTTAAAAGTCTTGTCAATCAGTAAAGAAGAAAAGCATACAATGCTAATTTTTCCTGTTTCCCAATAAAAGCCAAGCTCTCGCTTTTAAAATATTTATACGCTTTACCCGCTGGATATTGTTAATCATCAGTCCGTTCCTAGTTTAAATCATTTAAATTAATACAAAACAAAATTACTTTCTTATTTTAATAAACCCCATTATTAGACTAGAATATAAGAATATTCCAAAATGTTATAAAGACACTAAAATCCGTTTTTTTTTAAAGCTGTTTTTTGTTTGGATGCATTCCAAACTATATCTTATGTGGCTAGAAATTACATGACTTATGGATGAGCTCGTAGACTTATACAGATGTATAAGTATTTTACTGAATAAAGTAATATATAAAATCCTTAACAGTGAGTTTCCTACATTCCAAGCTCAGTGTCGGCTGAATAGGAATTGACTAATAACCATTCTTAAGTGTTTTCACAACGGACCACACGCATTGGTCATTAAATTATTAAGCCCGGCCCATTCACCAGTCTCCAATTTGAAATGAATAAATTGGGTGCTATTTTGACGTCATTTTCCCAATAATTTTTACACTTATGAGAACAATTTTACCGCAGGAGTGTCATAATGGAAGGTGGGCCGATTACTTAAGTTTTTTTTACGATCAATCATTATTTAACAGCTGTAATATTTTTCTGTGGTCTCGCAATTTTTTTGTTGGTAGACATACGATTGATACTAATTTATTTTTATAATAATAAGCAATATTCCATATTTAAACGTTTGATTTTTTTCTGGATGTCTGAACGGTTAGGAAAGGTAAAAAAATTCATAACTTCACTCTATTTTGCATTAGACAAGTATTTTGCAAGCAGTCGATTTCCCACAGTTTGCCAAGGAATTCCTTACGTTTATTGGCCTGGTTTCAGTTGCTGTTTGCATATGCACTGATTGTATTTATATTTAGCAGAGTAACATCGCATTTTTTGACATTACTTTGAATAACAGATTCAAGATCTTATGTTATTTCTTATATTATCTTATAAATATTTGTTTCGATCGAGATTTAGACAGTTAATTGAGGCGCTTGAACTTTTAAAAGATTATATTTTAGATTTTATTTTTTATAATAATACTAGCTGCTCTCCGCTGGTTCACCTACGTTTTAGTGACAGCTCCGCTGGTCGTCCATGTTTTGTGTAGAACTTATGTAGAATGTGTACTTATATAGAATTTATGAGAAATGAATTTATGGCGGTAGCGTATGCGACTGCTGTACTGGTTCGATTCCTAGGTCGGACCAAATGTTTGTATGATCTGCATATATTTGTTTTGGAGTTTGGATATTTACCATGTATAATATGTATATATTTACAAAAACAAAGTATTTAGGTATTCTATCAGTCAATCTAACTTTCATAGTACAAGCTCTGCTTAGTTCGAAACTAGATGGCGTTGTGTGTCAGATGTTCGAAATGTTATTATTATTCGTGAATTTTTAAATATTTTAATGTTTTTTTGTCCTGGGTGGGATTCGAAACAACGACTTAGAAATTTGGCTTAGTAATTAGGATCACTAACCACTAGGATCAAAGGGGCAGTAATTTTCAGAATCATTTTTAAAACTAAATTTAAGATATGATAATACTTTGATTTACAAAAGAGTGAGATTGGTTTATAAAAAGACTACACAAGTTCTTTAAATACCTTTATATGATGAGCGCGCTTTCTTCTTGATAAATTTATCAGAAAAATTACGCTTTTTAGTTTTCTTTGTTCTCAGTTTTTCAACACCATATCTCATTTGTAATGCACCCTAACATCATCAAACATATGGATGGGTGCCTAACGAAGCAAATTGAAGAGCCATTGTGCACTAGTGTCATTTTAATCTTTGTATCTTGCACTTGAATATTAGATCAAAGTTAATTGGATTACCTGTTTGTGTTCTGTAGTGTTTATTACTTCGTTTCGTTTACAAGTTTATGAAAAGTCATGTAGGTCTGAGAGGCAGTGAGGATCTGTAACGCGGTGACGGTCGGTGTTTTTGACAGAGAACTAGCAATTTAAAAACGGTAAAATGATTAGCTATGTTACTAAGCTAATTATTAAATGTGGCTTGGTGTTTGTTTTTTCTCTTATGGCGTGTTATTCAAATAACTACGCTTGGAGTCCGTATACACTTAACCTTAGTCAATGTAATTTAGAAATCGATTCGAGATGCTGTTTAATAATTTTTTACATGCATAACTTAGTTCTACTATTATAAAAATGACATAAATTTATTATTATATAAATTCTTCTTCACTAGATAACAGTCTCAATAAATTTCTCACAAAACTCACCGATCTGCCTGCATTATTATTGTGCACGTTGATCTTGGACTGCAAATCGTCGACTTGTTCTCTTACATCGAGGAATTTCTTCGAGAACTCGATTCCGTACGCTAAATTGTGCGAACACCCGCTCCACTCCCATTTGTTGGCTCGCGCCCTCCCGCGAGGATCATGGGAAGCTCGGTACCCAAGAGGGTCACATCCGCAGGAGAGGAGACGGCCTTGAGCACACGCTCGTGCTACTGAGTGAGCTACCCCGGCTGCGGACAGGGCGTAGAGGAATGATGATTCTCGAAAACCTGGAAAAAGAGCAAAATTAGAGTTTATAAAAGTGTTTCTCGAAAGGAAACTGTCTTATTCACCAGTTATAGCTGAAATATTTAATGAACAGAATTTATTGAACCAGTTCATTAGAGCAATAAAGCTTATCCTAAATAAAAATACACATATTTATACTAAGCAGCTGACCCGGCAAACGTTGTTTTGCCATTTACATTATTTCTAGGATATATTGAAAAAAAAATTTTGGGGTAGGTCACCCTTGTCATTTAGGGGTATGAAAAATAGACATTGGCCGATTCTTAGACCTACCCGATGTGCACACAAAATTTCATAAAAATCGGTCCAGCCGTTTCGGAGGAGTATGGTAACTAACATTGTGACACGAGAATTTTATATATAAGATTAAGAATGAGTAAAAACATTTTTACTGTTGTTTTTACGTTGTTATTACGTCATCCTAATTTTTGAATTTAAATTATAAGAAAACCTTAAATTTACTAGAGCTAAACTGAAGTGGAATAAATAAAATAGAAACAGTAAATGCAATCTAGGTTAAGGTAAAGAGCGCCATCTAATGTCAATTGTCGATTGTTAACTTATAGGGTTACCATATATTAAAGGGAGATGGGATTAGTAAGGTATAAGTGACACCATTGATGGTGCGAGGTAACGGCTTTCTATAAGTGCGTGCTTGTTTGAGTATTATGTGGAAAAAATATTCATCATAATAGCTAACCCGTGTAACTTTGTCTGCGCCTCTTATCTTCTATACATCTATATTTATACAAATAAATAAAATTTGAGTGTCTGTTTGTAATATTAAAATAACCGCTTTTTACTAAATGCACATGTATATTTACCGTACATATGCCAAAATAACAATTTTTATCTGTCTGTCTGTTTGTTCCGGGTAATCTCTGGAACGGCTGGACCGATTTCGACGAGACTTTCACTGGCAGATAGCTGATGACATAAGGAGTAACTTAGGCTACTTTTTTTAGACTAGCTTCGCTCCGCGGCATTGCCCGCGGTTATAACAACAAACGCGGGTAACACTCCGGGTCTCAGCTAGTAAAGAATAAATTTGATCCGTTTTTGCAACATTTTTCATTAATGCTCGGATCCTATTGGTCGTAGCTTAATTTTATATAGCTTATAGCCTTCCTCGATATATGGACTATCATACACTAACAGATATTTTCAATACGATTCAGTTCATGAGATTAAAGCGTTAAACCAAAACAACAATCAAACATCAGCTTCACATTAGAATCGATTTCTTTTAAATTTATTTCATTTATTACTACTATTGTATACGTATAGGATTGATATTTGAGATTCAAAATTCAAAAGTCTCGTAGAAAGGTTAAGTTGTATGTCGGAATAGAATGGACCAAAATCACTTGCAAGGATGTATATCATAATTAGGAAGTCTCCGAAAACCTCGACAAGCTTACTGAATTATTTTAGCACTTCACGTTATTAATTGGATCCTATACAAAAAATTATATGGTATGAAAAGACTTTCTTCAAGATGCTGGTTTACTTTTTTGTTAGTTTGTACTTATTAGAATATAAGACATAAGACATGTTACAACAGCTAAGTTACCTGTTTATTTATGTTACCTGCATAATGGTTACCACATTTTTTTTTGTAAGTAGAAGTAATTGAGAACTATCATTAGATTTGTGGAGTTCTTATCTATACAAATAAATAAATTTTCAGTGTCTGTTAGTAATATCCCCATTTTAGTAAAAAAAAATCATGATCACACGGTTTTTTGCACGATACTATAAAATTTTGCCCGGTCCTGGCATTGAACCCGAGGCCTTCAGGACTGCAATCGCGTACCGTAGTACACCACTAAGGCAGCCACCAGCTAGTTATATGTATAATCGGTGAGGGTTTATGTGATAACTTTCTTTTATTTTCTTTTTATTTTATTAATTTAATGTTAATTTGCTGATTTGACTTACTTGAGTTTTACTATTTTATTTATCTTGCTCTAGTTGAATTTTATATTAATTAGTTTTAGTTAACTACAAGTTGTTTAAATTTACACATTTATTTAACACAAGAATTGATTGTTCAAACGTATAAGTAGGCATAAGTAGACACTAAACAAAATACTTAATTATTACTCAAATCTTTTTTAAATGCTAAATTTAGTACAAACCTTAATAGATGTAAAATGTTGTATAAACAAAGAAAATTTAAATAGGAAGACGCCTATGGCATCAAGTCCGCCATTGTGCAATTTCATTTGTGCACAAATATTATCAGTAAAAAACAAATGAAAATGTAAGTTATATGACAAATAAATTAATAAAGTGTATTCACGGGAAAATATAACCGTCGGCACACGTCCCTATAAATATATACGATACAAGTAGCCTGGTGTTAGTTATATCCATGTAATGCAGATCCTGGTCCGCAGATGTATCCCGTTCTTTATTTCCCTTATTCGGAGTGTGGCTGTGTGGTCGCTCGTATCATGCGGAAAACTTACACAGCATTCCTTCACACTAATGCTCTTATAAACTCAGAATTTATATTTATGTGCTTATTTAATTTCACACATAGGCACACTTTCACATACAGTCACGTAAATCTTCAGGTTAAATATAGTCACACACTTTCAAAAGTCACTTTATAAATGATGCACTCAGAATTCTGAACATAAGAAAGGTCAAATCGAAACTAGCTGTTAGAAATTTCTTTTTCAATAGAAAATCACATACAAAATACTTTTTTACCTTCCTTTAGGGGTTAGTTATTGGTAAGCCTTTTGATTGAATTTTTGTTACTATTTGTAGAATTTTACAGGGTTAAGTAACAAAAATTTTTTTCTTTATAATTATGTTCTATAGAGTGATAAAACTTTATTTGCGTACTCAAATTAACAAAACAATACACAACTATAAAAACCAACTGCTAGAAAGAGGGCAGGCTGTGTACCAAATGAGTAGTACTACTGTGTATCAAATGAGTATGTACTTACCCTATGCCGTCTAACTGTTTAGACGGACATAGATATAATAATTTTTGTATCTAATATCAGTCTGTTGTACATTTTCAGTATACAAATGCAAAATAATCTTTGTACCTTATTAATTCAATTAACTAAGTAAAGTTTATGAATTATAACCAACTAATAAAATTATAATTGACGTTCGAATCAGGTAATTTAAACTTAAGTCTTGACAAGCATTTTTATTACATTGTGACGATTAAAATATTTGAAAATAATAAATCTTTGAATATATTGTGAGTGGTCAAAACGGTGCCTATTAAGTCAGTAGCTATCCAGCTTCCGTAGTTTCAATAAATCTACTGATACAAGTTTACGGTGCATTCCGATGGTATCGCGATTCGGTATTTATCATACGCATAGAGAAGCTTCCAGTTTACATTGGATCTATACGTCGTGACCAGAATATTTTGAATCCAATGTGGGACTACTACATGTTTCAAAAATAAAAATAAACCAAACATATACAATAATATATCGTTGATGGGTCGATATTATTGTACCTTAAATACAGTGTAGAATTTTATTTTATAGTATTCTGGTATGCAGTCACTTCTCGCATTAGATAATATTTCTATATGTAGAGAATTTTAGAGAAACAACTCACGGCTATATAAAACACACACACACAATCAGAAGGATGTCAAATATTTCCTACAAATAATTTCAGGGCAACAACAACTTGTAACGTAGTTTGACTTTGACTAGCTTAGAAACTTAGTACTAAAACATTTTAATCAGGTATCGAAACCAATATTCGTCACTGCAATAAAATGTAAAATAAAGTAATTATTTGCAAACGATTTTTTTCCCGAAATGTTATCTTTTAAGGTGCTATTATTTATAAATCGAGTGTCACCCCTCCTGCCAGCTAATTGGTTGTTTTGAGTTAGTGGATTTTTTTTACAACTAAGTTTGCAAAAGCTAAAAGCAAACATTCTAAGAAACTCTATTAAAAATGAGGTTTTCGACTACGAACTCCGACTCTGTGCTTCCAAAACGTATACGGTTTTTATATACATATATAATACAGACGTTAACAGGTTATTATATACAACGAATTGTGTTTGTTATACTCAACCTCTCCTAAAGACGTATTAAAGAATATTATTATAACGCCTATTTTAGGTTGAAATAAGGTTAAAATATGCATTAATATTATGTGATACTAATATTTTTTTAAATGTTATGCAGTAAGACCAACAGTAATGTAAGGCTATCTATCTAGCTGCAGAGACCACCTGTGTACAACAACTAACGTACACAAATACAAATGTATTATCCCAGGGATTTCAGAACATCAGAGCATAAGAACTGTCCGACTAAAACATATAAACTGGACAACAGATTTATAGGAACGCGGAACGCAACAACCTCCATTTATCTGTTTATTGCAATAAATTAAATACTCAGGCCATTCGCGTGATCCTCAGATAAGCTATTGCACACGCACAATGTAATCTTTTTACCATAAAGAGCATGATGACCGATTTGCATTTGAGTTAGGACTGTACCTATATTAATTGTCCTTTCTTATGTCTGTGGTTAATATGCTATTCTAGCTATTTCATTGTATTGAATATGCCTTGAGTTTAAGTGCCATCTCTGTTTAATGGGCAATTATAGAGGTATGCCACCTGCTGCTTGTATCCTGTATAAGCCATTAATTTGTAGTTAATTCTTAGCACTGGTTGCATTACATAAACGACCTTTTATGTTGATTGACGAACGAACGAACTAACGTCGAACGAATTACAGAATTTTGTAAAGCGTGTATTGTCATACATAAATGTGGATTATATTCATGTGTTCATCATCATCAACAGTATTTAATAGTTCAATGCTGGACATAGGCCTCTCGTTAGACAGGAGGTTGGTACAGGGATTACGTCAAGTCTTAATTATCTTTGCTGTTGTCCTGCGTAGTTTGCCTCCTTAGTCGGCTCTTACGACATCCACGGAATAAATAGGGTTGATGACACTCC